AGCAAGGCTCAGCCAGGCCTGGCGCCCCCCGTTACAATGGGGGTGTGGCCCACGTTGGGGTCCCAACCCCCAGGGGGAGAACCGCGGCCCTAGACCAGACCTGCGGTTGTTCGTCTACAGCCAACGTAGTGCAACGCCCTGTCTTCCAAGGACATTTACTCCCGCTTGAAGGGGCGGGCTCCTGCCACGGCCCCCCCTTCTCCCTCCCTCGTGATTGGGAGACAGCCCGGACGTGGGCTTGGCGGCACAAAATCACTAGGAATTGCGGGTGCTCAGCACCCCTGGGACTGCTCCCTTACCTAACTCTCCCCACCCCTTTGCGTATGGAGAACCGTGTCTTATTGGGAGCAGGTTGATACGGGTACAGCCTTTTAACTAAGCTAAAAACTGTCACTGTAGCAACAGAAAACAAGGGTGGGCGGAGACCTTAGGTGGACATTCGCCTGGGTCAGGTCCATGGTCCAGTGCCAATGGCCCAGGACTGGGACTTGGGCACACTTGTTTTAATCCCATTTCCATCAGTAACTTGACATACGATCTTGTGAAAGCACAACTTTCTGCCCCTCATTTCCTTTACATCTGTAAAACATACTTTGTAAAGTGCTTTGAGATGCTGCACATTTATATGAATGACAAGAGCGTCTCAGCTTTCTTGCTGGACAGCATGAATGCCTTAGCTTTTGGCCTTTACCTGGAGTCCTCACACTTGTACTTCACTCAGTGGATAAGAAACAAGATTAAAATGAAGGGGTAGCTGTTCTGAGCCTTGGCCTGTCTGTCCAATTCCCACACCGACGTTTCTCAGAGAACATGGTCTATTGTAACTCGCTTTAATCAAAGCAAAAATCCATATGGGATGAAGGAAAAGGGTAGCTTGGAACAGCTGCTGCACTCTACAAATAGTAATGAATGCATCAGAAGTCTAGAGGAAACTGACTTGTGTGCCCCCCCCCCATTGGGCTGAAGCATGTCTGGATGCAGATTACTTTCTTTGGTTAATTGGGCTGTGATCCTAGAAAAGGCTGCAGCCTAGAAATCTCACTTCCTGACACTTTAGGATTAATTCTTTTTAAATGTGAGCTGCTATTAAAAGTCAGGCATTGAAACAAGTGTCTAGTTTGAACTGATTTGATTTAGAACTTCACTGTGGAGCCATTTGTGGATTGTTTCTTGTTTTAGCAATTGGCGATCAGCTTGCCGCTTGCTCCAATTCAGAGGCCAGGCCTGTGGAACTAAATTAACCTTCTAAATTATCAGTGGTGGGTATATAATTATGGCTGCCTTTTATTTAGCGTATTCATTTGCTGTATGAGACAAAAGCAGTATTTGAGGCTGCCAGACACTGTAAAAGTTGATTCAGACATCAATAGCAAAAACCATTATGGACCACCCATGACCATCTGATGTCTCTGGATCTGGCCAGGGAATGGTAAAGTGTCTGGACCTCACTTACCATTCCAAACAAGCACCTTATTACTGATCTGACAAGCCACCCTCCTGGTTTCAGCCTGTGATGCAAACTTTGGACCACTTTCAACTGCATCCGAACAAGCCATGGAAGATGCAGCTACTTGATGCACAAGTGGAAAATCAAAAGTTCCACTTCATGCGACTGGGGTGAGAACATCCAAACCACACAACGCAGCGCCCCAAATACAGATTCAAAGGTGAATTGGATGATAGCCACAATGTCACAGAGGCGGCCTTGAATCATCTTGCCTTATGGACATACAACTGCATCTATAGTATGTTGCTCTGCAGATGCCATATGCATGTGAAAGCGAGCAAGCAATATTTTAGGAAGCAGGTGTGTGTGTGTGTGTGTGTGTGTGTGTAGTAGCAGTCCTTACTTTAAATAGGGGCATGGACAGGAAACTGGAACAACCGTTCCAGTAGCAGGGGTAAAAAAACCTCAACTGGCTTCAAGACTGAGCTTGATAAGTTTGTGGAGGAGATGATATGAGGAGACTGCCTACAATAGCACGTCTTTGGCTATCCCTTCATGTGAGGATGATGTTTGCCAAGGGGGTTCATTGGTGGGGTTTTAAGTGGCTTAGGAACCCAATTCATGCCTTGCAGATTTTCCCACAGAAGTGACAGGTGTAATCTTGGAGGAGACAGTTGTTGGCTGGACTATTGTGCCTTTTCTTTCCTCCTTTGTCACTTCTCTGTCTCATGAGCACATCTGTGGCACCATTGTGTTCTGTTCCACGCCGAGTCCTCCCAGTTTGTACTTTCAGATAACAAATATCTCCAATGACCAGTGATGGGACACTGGGTATGAAGGGTTCTGAGTTGCTACAGAGAATTCTTTCCCACGTCTGGCTGCTGGGTCTTGTCCACATGATCAGGGTCTAAGTGATCACAATATTTGGGATCAGGAAGGAATTTTTTCCAGGGTCAGATTGGCAGAGACCCAGGTTTTTTTTGCCTTCCTCTGAAGCATGGGGCATGGGTCAGTTGTAGGTTGAAATTAGTGTAAATGGTGGATTCTCTGTAACTTGAAGTCTTTAAAGCACAATTTGAGGACTTCAGTAACTCAGCCAGAGATTATGGGTCTATTACAGGAGAGGGTGGGCAAGGTTCTGTGGCTTGCAATGAGCAGATCAGACTAGATCAGTGGTTCTCAACTAGGGGTCCAGGGCCCCTGGGGGGCTGCCAGCAGGCTTTGGGAGGTCCACTAAGCAGGGCCTGCATTAGATTTGCGGGGACCCAGGGCAGAAAGCTGAAGCCTCATTGTCTGGGGCTGAAGCCCAGGGCTCTGCCACCCAAGCCTGAAGCTTGAGCAACTTAGCTACATGGCGGCCCCTGGGCAGTTGCCGTGCTTGCTACCCCCTAACTCTGGCCCTGGCTTTTATATGCAGAAAAATAGTTGTGACACAAGGGGGCTGTGGAGTTTTTACAGGATGCTGGGGGGCCTCAGAAAGAAAAAGGTTGAGAACCCCTGGACTAATGATCAGGATGGGCCCTTCTGGCCTTAAAGTCTATGAGGTAGTAAGTATCTGCCTTGTTAAATGAGCCTGTCCTAGAGCTAAAAAGATATATTAAATGAACAGTCTGCCATATAATCACATTTCAGTATGAAATTTTCCTATGATTGCTGTAACTGAAAGACTAAATTAGACAGCACTAGTTCCTATGTATGTTTAGTCAGCTTCTCCAGTTTGTGGTCCTGTCACACAGTAATTTTTTTTTTTTTTAAATAGGGCATTATTGAAAACCCAAAAACATGGGTTAAGGATTCAGGGGCAAGTGTAGTACATGAAACTATCAAGAATATTTTTTTTTGAAAATTGACTTGGATTACCTGGCAGAAAGAGGTATTTGGAAGGAGGCAAAGGAAAGGCTCATACAGGTAGAGTGTTCTTAAAAGGAATATTTTCCAGACACAAGCCAAAGTATGTCAAACTTGATTGGTTACAAAATATGTATCAAAACAAATTTTATTTCACAGCTTCTCAATCCCACAATTTCATCAAAAGAATATTAGACAAATTACAAACAAGAGACTTTAATTTAATTTACTAAGACACAAAACTAACAGTTTACATAAAAATGTACAAGCTCCTATCAAGAGTCTTTTCGTTGTGCTGAATCTAAGCAGCACCATATTTACATGTGATACATAATTAAACCACACACCCAAATGTAAAGAGACCAACATCTCTCCTTAAAGGAAAAAAGATTGCATGAAAAAGTGTAACCTCTCTCTTAGAATGTTATGTTGGGTCCCATTTTGGTTTAGACATTGATAACATTGCAGTAATAATTTTCTACCACACAGTGGCAGCTTTTCTATAACAAGATAAATATATCACAATGAGGCTTAACTGAAATAGGACTCTAAGCCAATTTAGGGTAGAGAATGCTAACTCCTATAAAACAGTACACACACACACACACACACACACACGTTAGTTACTGCCTTTGCCAACAGGATCACCATTTCTGTACAGATAAGTCACAGAAAAAGGTACCCAACATACAAGTTGTAGACGGTTGGTTAAAATGACAATTTGGGATCAATAACCCATCTTCAGACTTGAAACAAGATTTCTAAGGTGTTACAGAAGAGTTTCCTTCCATTTCTTATAGAAATTTACACACAGTGAACACTGTATATAAATAGACCATTCCCCTGATACAATTTTCACCCATAATATCTAGGGCTTTAGAGCTCAGAGCTTTGGATGTGCACAAGCCGAGGTTTAAAATGAGCACCTATTACGGTAAAGCCTTTACTTAAAACACTGCTCTGAAGAACACATGCTTTATCTTAGGAAGGTGTAATTCTACATTTTGCTGGAAGAATAAACCCAACTTGCCCATTTACACACTGAAGCAACAACCTGCATCCTTACTCAGGCACAGCTTCCATTGCAGTCAATGTCTGATGAAGGATTGCAGGATTAGACTAAGGTTTACATTTCAGTCAGAGCATCTTTTCTCCGTTACATATTAGTTTAAATCAATTTAACTCCTATAATTAACAGCAGGAGCACAAGTTGTCTTGGAGCACTACATTTTTAGACATTTATAGTAACATGACGATTTTACATTTTTTGGACAAAAACTGTGAGAAGTTTTACATTTACCACTTCCCCAAACACTTAAGTTCCATATTAAGTTTGTCAATATTTAGATAAAGAAAGGGTATTGACTGATTTGGAGAAAGCTGTAGCAGATAATGGACCATTATAAATTGAGTGCACTGCATTAATTAAAAAAAAAAAAAAAAAGTAAGTTGGCAACCCACAAGTGTTAGTCTAATACTTTAGTAAAATAGAACTTATAAAACTGGCACTAATTATTCAGTACAGAACTTTAGCAAACAACCGACAATTTTCTAACCTCTGTTTTGGAAAATAAATTCAGTTGGCAAGTTGGATGTTAGCTATCTTCCAATTTAAAAAGTTTGTAAAATTCTCCCAGATTAAGAAATTATCATGCATGTTGAATTTTAGAAAGCTGCTTCTCTGTAAAGTTTATGTCCTGCGCATTGACCAGAAGGTGCATATTTACTTGCACCAAAGTTGTTAAATAGAGCTACTAGGTTTAGGACTTGAGTAGTATTACTGCAGTTAGACGTATAAAATACCTTTCAAGTGCTGCTTAAAAAGAAAGGCTCTACTAAGTTTGCTTCAGTTTCACTGAAGTCAAACTGGACTTAGGTAAAATGTAGTTGAATAGCAAGACTTCAGTTTTATGTTTGTTCTTATTTAGTGGCCACCACAAACGCGCAAGGAGTTGAAATTTACAGTACTCCATGTATCAGAGACCAGGTAGCCTTTTTACCTCAGGAAGAGATCTAGTATCTAAGTTAGTCACAAACAAATACTTGGACATTGAGAAATTTTGTATTATTTTTGTCCCTTGCAAACACACACAAACACTTATTTGTATCATAATATTGCTTAGAAAAAACCCCAAGAACAACTAACTGTATCGCTAAAGGTACAACATGTTTCAGAATGGTTTAAACCAACTGTCTGGACAACAGTGGAAGAAGTTATTTAACCCTTGCATAAACAGAGTGCTGCTGAACATTAACTTCTAACTGAATGGCTGATCAAACATGCAACAAATGCCAGTTTCATGAGGCCCATCACAGTGGCACAATGCTTGGAAGAACTGAGTAAAAAGTAGCAATTTAACAACTGGACATACTTTGTTTCATTGGCTTAGTTTGGAAGTGATAGCAGTACTGGCTGAAACACTTGTGTACAGAGCAGAGAAAGATCACTCATGATAGACATGGTCATGTTTAAAAAGGTGCTTAGTTTCAGACTATAGTAAACAGTGGCATAAATCAAAATTATAAACGATAATATGGTGATTTCCTCTCACCTGTAAGTCAATTTCTTATCTCCAATTGAACAATGAACTACAAGAATGAACTCCAAGCTGCTTTGCTGCAGCTAACGTGTTCAACAAGTGATATTTCACGATAGATTTCCAAACAATCTTTCTTTCCTTTTTTAAAATAAAACCTTTATTCACATATTAATAGTTAAAGAAGTTGAACTAGAATAGTTTCAGACTTGCTACCTATAGATCTATAATACAAATCCCCTCTGTAATATTAGTGCAGATATACTGGAATTGTTTTCACTATATGCAAGGCAAATGCAGGTAAAGGATACATTGCTATTTAAATTCAGGATTCACTATTATGCAACGTAAGTAACTTAAAAAGTACTGGTACCAGACCAGTCAATTTTAGGCACATCTTTAAAAAAATAAAGTATGCATTTTATTAATGTAAAAATGCAAGAAAATTCTCAGATACACTATTTGAAGTTTATGATTTCTTTGAATGGAAGTGTTGCTCCCTTTAGTTTCAAGGAAGAAAATAAAGGTTGAAACAATCTAAGAGAACAATAGTGTAGCATCCTTTGTAGGGAAGAACTGACCATTTCCTAGTAAAATTGAAAAGGAAAATACAGAATAGCCAGCAGCCACAAAGGCAGCTAGTTTGTGAATCATTTGTGCTTTAATGTCCAAAGGAAAATAAAGTTCAAGACAACCCTTTCTGTACCATCTCCTGATACAGACTTGGTACCTGTATCGTTAATGTACACCTTGACTGTTTAAAAATCATGCTGCAGTCTTCAAACTAGCTGTAGGCATGATCTGATGCACATTGTGACACAGAGAAGGTCAGTGGCAAGTGTCAAATTCAGGAGCAAAATGTTCAGTAATGCTGTTAATCCCCAGAGCCACTGGTGAGCAGCTGGAATGTAGCTTTGGTCAGGCTTGCTGTGTGAGACGTCTATAATGAGGTAAAACTTGGTTTTCAGGAAGGTAGAGGACCAGCTCCAAAGCTACAAGCACTGTAAATTCAAATCCAATGAGATCTCGTCTGTTGAATCTGAATCTTTCTTCTAGTTTCTGCAATGGCATTTTTTGGGAGGGGGAAAAAGAGAAGAAGAAGAGGAGAAAATCGGATCAGCAGTTATCCTCAGGAAAGCTACTAGATTGTCACAGGTCATACCAGCATAAGAAAGGAAAGTAATCATGTTATGGCCTGAGCTGTACATACATACAGGATCAAATATGCAGTTGGCCTGCAAAACTAGAAACAGACCAATTTATGGGTTCAGCTCTGGTAACTGGGAGCCAAATTACCCAATTTGCATGCAAACACACAGGTTTTTGCATGCCCAAAAGTTTTAGGGGTGCGGTTTGGAGATCAAATAAAAACACAGGCCATTCCCCCCAAAAAACCACGTGCCTAATTTTAGGATCGGAGCCTAAATTTGGTTACTCATTTTTTAAAAAGTCTTGGTCTTAGCTCATAAAATACAAGACTGCAACATTAATAAAAAGACAGAGCTTATTTATGACAGTGAATGAAAGAATTCAAACTATACTTACATCAATAAGGTGTTTAACTTCATGTTTCCTGAGATCACTGCTGATCTTGGCTGCAAGAAGCACACAAGCACCAGCGCACAGTTTGCGGTTCTGTTTGTTGAGCTTGCCTTGGAGAACAAGCTTCTCGAAGTAAACGTACGCCATTGACACAGTAACTGGCTCTAGATTGCACTCTTCACTCAGGTTCCACATCTCTCTCTTTAAGCTGTGAGGGGACAAAATACCTTTAGCACATGAAATGGTTTCTAAAAAAAACATTGGAAACTCTGCAGTGTGAAGGAAGCAAGGATTGGTAAAGGGACTGAAGCCCTGAATTTATTAATCTGGTTCAGATCTAATCCAGACTAGTTCTCAACAATGCTGTTACCATCTGAAGGCTGTTTGGTGGCATATGAAGTGAACTGGTATTCTCAGTACAGTTCCCAGTGGACAGGCCTCCACAATGCAGAAACTACATGATGGCTGGCATTAACTAGCACTTTCAGAGCCCAAGGAGACTGAACCTCCTTGTCACATGGAGGTGATCCCTCTATATCAGTTTTAAGGCAAATTGGCAGGGCAGTGTTGCAAACTTATATTGCTAGTGGTCATGCTGTATCTGTGAAAGATTTCTCTAAACATGCAAGAGTAGGGAGTGGGAGCAGTTGAGGAGAAGAGGGGAACAGGACTTCAGGGCATGGTGTCTGCATGCAAATAAATAACTACATTTTTCAAATTTAACATCTACGTCTGTAGTTCTCCACATACAAGACACTGTATATTAAACAAAAATTGATGTAATATCTGATTGTAAATATCTACAGTGGTTGTGCTAAGAAGATTAAGTCCCTAAAAAAATATTCAGTATGTAACTATAAGAATTAATAGCCAAACAGGAAACTGTCATTTTGACAGCTTCACGGAACAGATTAGGGCTGAGAAAATAAGAATTCAAGTCCCAATAAAACTCAGTTCCAAATTTTTTGAAGTGAACTGAAAACTCTGTTAAAGTTACTAAACTGATTTTCAGCAATTTCAAGTGGGGTCTGAATTTCCATAGGGCTCGATCCTGCCTACCCGCCATTCATGGGACTCCTATTGAAATTTATGCTCATGCACAGTCCCATTGAAGCGAATAGGACTAAAGTGCCTAAGGGTTTGCAGAGTCAGGGCCGAAGTTTGCTATTCACAGACGACAGTCTTCCCACTGGGAAGTACAGTTCTGTATCATCAAGACAATGCCCCTCCCTGAAGACAGAAGTTAATATGTTCATAAGGCATTTCTAAAAAGATCTGAAATTATATTTTGAATAAATTGTATTTCTTATGGGTATTTATTTCACTAAAAGGTACAATAACAAATCACTGTAGTTTTCTTTAAAGATAATTGCCATATTGTGGCACAGAAAGGTGAAGTTGCCTGGATTTTCCCCCCCCCCCCCCCATTCTGCAGTTTCCTATAACAATCCAAGACCACAGGATATTTTCTTGTTACTCAAATAGAAATAGATAGCCATGTGGTCCCAGATGGAGGCACAGACTGCTTATAGGAAAGATGGAGCGCATTGTAGGCTGTGAAGTCCACTTATGTTTTGATCCATAGTTTGCAGAAGGATTGTTGAGTCAGTTGTAATTTGCTAACATTATATTAGTACTAAGTCAACAAGAAAGCAGTATTAGTCTGAAAATAACTACTTTTAGGCTGAGTTATATGAGGACCATTCCCCGCATCCTAAGCATTCCTGTAATGGCTGCCATCCCACAGCCAGCTTAACTGGTAACAAGAGATTATCAGTATTTAATCATATATACTATTAATAGAAGTAATATTTAATTCCATACAAGTGTTAAGAGGAAGCAGCTTGTACAAGAGGCTTAAAGGACATTCACTCTCCCCTTTCTGTTCTCAAGTGCTTGTTTCTTACCTTCTAATTTTGCTCAGCGTTAGCTTGATGTGAGGAAACTTCTCTTTAAAAGTTTCATTCATGTCCTTTTTAAGGTCTGAGGGTTTCACATATTCGATTACTGTGGTCTGAAAGACAAGAGGCAAATTTTCCATAACATTTGTGGTTTCATGGTCTACAATGCATTATAGGTGCCCTTCAAGCATACCCTCTGTTTGATACAAAGGCAAGACAGACGTCTTCAATAATATTTTGCACTCCTGTAGTGCACACCCAGTGCTTACAAAATATTAAAATAATCTCAGCAATTTGCAAGACAGACAATTGTCCCCATTTTACAGACCGTGAAACAAACTGGGAGGGTCAACGACTTGCCCAATAGATCAGGCTCCCTTTCTAGTATAAGCTTCTCAGAGCCTGACATCCAGGCTTCATTAGCTACCCAATGCTTTACCTTTAACAAACACAGGGCAGTGTGGGGACACTCTTGTGAAGCTAGAACTCAGCTGTCAGTGACACTGCTCATCGTGAGAACTTCCCTACTGAACTATCACGACAGAGTTGTGCAAGTGACCGGTATGGAATGTTAGGTACTGTTATAGATGCCTGTGGTAGGCCACAACGCCAGTAGTCTGCTGTTGGTCTGTCCACATCTTCAGAGCACTATAAAGCTTGTGTATTCAAGTACCAAGTATTATTTCATGGCCTATATGATGAGAGAGGAAAGAGTTCACTTTGTCCCCAAAACATTAAGGGTCAATAAAGGTGTGTGAGCAGGACTGTATGGTCTCATGACAAAGAGGTGCCAGAGAATGAAGTTTGTGCAGGGCAAAGTAAGCCTTCTAGCCTTAAGAGTGGTAACCTGCTATTACAATCATCAGCATTACATGTTGAGGCACATAAATTAGTGGAGTAGAGTAACTGCTAGACAAACAGTTGAAATAAGGCCATGTCAAGAGAAAGCTGTAGTAATCCCAATCTCACTGCGATGCTTTGGGGAAAAAAAAAATAAATAAATAAAAAAAATAAAGGAGCCAAAGTGTGGCAAAATGAAGAAATCCTAATTCTCAGACCCAAATACTGTCTTGCTGCTTTGAGTCAGTTTCTCGTGAGAGAAGTGGCAGGGAATCCTACAGCTTCAGCTGACAGCGTTCCTGGGAACAGACATCAACAATCCTGAAATCAGCGCTCTCTTTGGTTGTTGGATCTACTCTTTGACCTTTATGCGGTTTCTCTCTGTGTAACTAGCGGCCATTGTTTTGCAAGATTTCCATGCTCTAAGAGTGCCTTCACATTTAATAAAATAGAGTTCACTCCTGGAACAAACTGTCAGGAAGAGTAATTGCTTTAATGTGTTAAACAAAGTAGTTGTGCATAAACTAATCCCAGAGGCTCATAAAATTAACTTTTTGTAGCTGCTACTGATCAGTGGTTATAGATAACAGACAAAATGTTGTTCCAAATTACTGATATCCAGTCATCTCCACACAGTTCTAATAGACAAGCTTTTGCGGCAACATCTTTAAAATGTGCCTTTGTCCATAATATTATTTAGGAATACATTAACTAATTTATGCACTACTGAACATACATTCCTTGCATATTCACTACAATAGAGTCTATGCTTAATTGGGTCATCACCATTGAATATCAGATAGAAGTTTAATCTCCCTGAGGACAGAAGATCCTTAGCGCTCTCTGGTAATCTATTACTAATGTAGTGTTTGGCACTGCTCTTTAACTCAGTAGTGCTCAAGTTCAATGCACAACTATGTCTGTTTATAGTTTTTCCAATAAGTACTCAACAAACAGGGCACATTTTATCCAAGGTAGTACTTGACATGACACTGAGCATCCATGCGTGGAGTACGTATGCACAGGGAGCCAGACAGCTGCTCAGTTAAAATATACCAATTTCTTACCATGTAAGATGCAAAGATGAGAACCCGCTTGTGTTTCCCACAGGGCCATTGAGGATCATCCAGGAGATTCGGATTATACTCTGATGACTCACCAACTTCGTTTCCTGGAAGAATGGGAGAAGTAAATACAGCATGAGTTGTAAGATGAACAAAAAAAAAAAAAAAAA